CCCAGAGCTGCTCTGAGCTGTCACCTGCTCACTAGGACAGACCCAGAGCAGGCACTGATGGGGCTTCTGTTGTTTTCTAAGGATCAGTGGAAGGAGCTCTCCCATGAAGACCTGGAACCTCCACCTGAGCACGTGCCCCCACCTCCCCGGCCACCCAAACGCACACTGGAGCCTCACAATGGGAAATGCAAGGAGCTCTTCACCAACCACCAGTGGGTGAACGAGGAGACCTGTGAAGATGAAGACAACCTGGCCAGAGAGGAAGTCGGAGCCCCCTCAAGTGCTGCGCACAGCGTGAGCAGGTGATGGAGGCCTGGCTGCTGGGGGCGGGCTGAGAGGAAGTGGCTTGCTGTCCAGAAACACACGAAGGCATTGAAACTTTGAGGCTACAAGAGGTGCTTCTGCATGCGTGAGAAATGGTGTTGCAGGGCTGGAAAGCTGGCTCGGTGAATGAGAAATGGTGTTGCCACTGTCCGGCCATTGCCCTGGATTGTCCTGTGAAATGACAGGGCATCATGGGGTTCCAGTGCTCTGTGTGGTGTGTGTCTGATTCGCTCAGTGTCCACCAGAACAAGGCAGGCAGGGATTGCAGCTTGCTCGCTCTCGCTGGTAGAAGCATTGCTGAGCACTCAGTGGAGTACTCGCTCTGTGGAGTACTCGCTCTGTGGAGTACTCGGTAGTATTAGAATGTGCCCAGCGTCTATGCTGCAGACTTTCCATCTGGGGAAAGGACAAGCTCTCAGCATTGTGTGGTAGAGCTGGGGTGATCAAGAAAAGTCTGTGCCTGCAGGAAGTGGCACTGTGGTGACCCCAGTGGGAGGAGCCATTTCTTGAGTTGGCCGCCTCCTTCCTGGAGGGCAGTTTTGAGGTGTGGGCACACAGTCTGACTCTCAGCAGTACCCACCCAGGGCTTTGCACACAGCGTGCAGAGGCATGGCCTAGCTGCCCTCATTCTAGCGTGCATGGACAGAGAAGGTACAGAGCCGACAGTGGACAGGAAGCCATGTTGCTCCTGCAGCTGGGATGGGGATTGGGTATGTGTTTGCCTAGAGCTGGGACTTCCCATCCCTGCTTAAGTACACTGGTAGGCTGCCTGGAATTAAACCCAACCCTGGCCGAGACTACTGCCCAGGCTCCTCCAGGGCTAGGAGACAAGCAGGCTGCCGCGTTCCCTGTGCTGGCTTCCCCACTGGGAGGGGATGGTATTGTTTTCCTTCTTCTCAGGGTAGATAACCTGTCTCTTCCTCTCTCCTCAGCATGAGTCATGACACTGAAGTTAGGAAACGGATGGTGGGTGGAGGTCTTCAAAGTGCTCAGGCATCTGTCCCCACCAAGGAAGAGCTGTCCCCAACTGAGGAGGAACAAAAGGCACAATGGCCAACTCACTGGAAGCCCTTCCTGGTCAACGTGTGCATGGCCACAGTCCTGGCAACCGGTGCATACCTCTGCTACCGGGTATGTTTTCACTGACAGACTGGGAGGCGTGAGTGTGGGGCACTGCCACTGCCCAGCTTAGGATTCAGTCTGCGGCGTCTGACCTGGCGTAGAGCAAACAACAGCTCGCAAGCCTGCGCTGGAACTGGAAGGGCCAGCCCCAGGAGGGGCATCAGTGCACTGGGCTTTGAAGGAGCCCCTGGTCCCAAGATCAGAGTCTAATCTCAGGGCCTTAACCTGTTCAGGAGAAGCAGAGGAAATGCCAAATACTCTTCTCGCTCTCACCTCACTCCTCCCCTTCCTCTGGTTCATTTGTTTTTGGAAAAAAAAGAATTACAACACATTGTTGTTTTTAACATTTATAAAGGCAGGTTTTTGTTATTTCTGGAGGAAAAAAAAGATGCTAGGCACTGGTGAGGCTCTCGTGCCGTTTGGCGTGTGATCAGATTCACGATTTCCATTGAGTTCCAGGGGAAGGACCCCACCGGCTAGGACTGTAAGGTTCCTGCTGGCTTGGGCAACCCCCACTGCACCCTGAGCTCGCAGGTGCCCTGGAGCCCCACCCTGCTGAGAGGACAGCCACAGCACAGGCTGCCTCTGCACAGCAAGCCAGGCTCTGCTTCGCTCAGGTATCCCCTGCAGTTCCTCCCTCCTCCCTCCTCCCTCTTTGTGACTGCCATCTGTAAGATGGCCCTGCCCTCACCACCCCACCCCTGTATATGAGTTTCCCTGAGGGTCTTGCCTCGGGTCATCAGAGGTGGCTGCCAGCCCTAGTGCTGGGGTTTCCATTTCATTTGGAAAGTCATTACTACTCGGTGTAGAAGCCACTCCACTGAGGTGCAAGCAAGACTGATGGAGGAGGAAGGAGCCTTGTCATGGAATCCACTCCCCAGGACCTGTACCAACCTCTGAAACACTCAGTCCTGTTCCAGTGACCATCCTTAAAGGCATCAGATAGGTGATGTTTGCAGACTGCAAAGACTTTTCCTGAGTGGTGGTTTTCAGAGTCTGGACTCAGAAAACACCACCGAGCGCTTCCCTGGCTGCCTCTGAGGCTGGTGTGGCTGAGGCTGTGGGGAGGCGACCGCTGTGGGTTCCTCCAGGGCACTTGTGTTTGCAGTTGCTGTCCAGCAGCACAGCCAGTGCTCCAGCCAGCCTCTGGGCTGCAGCCCCAGTGGCTGCGGTGGCCCCCAGAGCCAGCCGCCATGGACGCTTGCTCACTTGGGGCCGCCTTCCCAGGCCATGCGGCTCCCATCCTGCATCCCCTTCTTCGTTCTTCCTGGAGTGGCAAGCCCACGATCATGAGGTGTTCGAGGGAGCCTCACGTGTGGCGTGAGGCCCGCCCGCCCGCCCTCCGAGGAGCCACTCTACTCTTATTTATTCACTTTGCTCAGAGGCAACCCCCAAGTGAGCACACCCTGAAACTGACGCGTAAGGTGTCCACCTGCACCCAGGACTGTCAGGTACAGTGACAGGTCAGTGCTGGGGTCGAGTGAGGCAGGAGTGCAGGACTGACAGGATCCACTGTGTGGCCAATGCTGGGGCAGGGGCAGGAGCCAGAGAGTGTGCAGGATCAAGGCTGGGCGTTCTCCCAGAGACCTAGATCCCCTTCCTTTCCTCTGCTTTCCCTGTGAGTTAGAAAACACACAGGCTCCTGTCCTCGTGGTGCCATGTGCTTGACATGAGAGACTTAAATGCCTACTCACTGGCAGGAACCTTTCATGCTCTGACCACAAGTGGTCGTCGCTGAGTCACCACCGCCACTCAGAGTGACAACAGTACTGTCCAGTGCAGATGCCGCCTGACTTCTGGCTTCTGGCCTGCCCCACCACGCCCCGCTGGATCTGACATTCCACACTCACACCTCATTCCCTGGACACTAGGCGAGCAGGGCTTGCCCTTCCACCTCTGGGGTCAGCCCCTCCATTCCGAGTTCATGCTGTTGTGGAGCAGGCGGGGGCTGGAAGCCAGGCAGCTCGTGAGAAGCACCCTCCTGGGAACAGGATGGGCAACAGTCCTTAGAGTCTGCCTGCTGTCGTTGCTGGCCTGGGTCACCTTGCCCACCCGGGAGAAACTGATGACGGTGCTCTTGACTCTTCTGTGAGGGGACTTAACCTCCACATTGGGTGGCTTTTTTAAATAAGCGAAGGCAGCTGCAACTCCAAACTGCCTCTTGCCAGCATTTCACATTTTGCCTTTCACCCAGAGAAGCCAGCACAGAGCCACTGGGGAACAGTGACGGCCTTGCCTGCAGAACCTGGGGAGGTGGCAGAGCCAGGGTCCAGGCTGGGAGCAGTCAGCAGTGGGCTGTGTCTGGAGGAGTGCGGTGTGTACAGTAGCCTTAGAGGTGGATATCCTGGAGAACAGGCGCACTCTGCCCTGTCGCCCCGTTGGAGGTAGCGAGCTGCTGTATGCCTTAAGTCAATATTTACTCAGCAGGGCGTGTTTCTCTCTCTCTCTCTCTCTCTCTCTCTCTCTCTCTCTCTCTCTCTCTCTCTCTCTCAATGGCCATAGAATAAACCATTTTTACAAAAATAAAAACCAACAAAAAAGAGTGTCCTGGAATAGTACCTTTGCAGGAGTGTGGGGTATCTCAGGGTCTTCTGTGACCTCACAGAACTGTCGGACTGCACCATTTCCAACTTGCTGTCTCACTAATGGGTCTGCATTAGTTGCAACAATAAATGTTTTTAAAGAACACAGATGTGATGAGGTGCTTTCATTTTCTTTATTGACAGACCTGGGCTGGAATGGGCAGGCATTTGTCTACCCTGTCAGCAGGAGGAGGCAGACGTTTGCCCTGCAGGGTTAGCAGGGTTAGTGTGCTGTGGGCTGTGTGTGCCACGTGACTGGCCTGCCTTTGCTGCAGAGATGTGAGTTCTCTACACTGTCCTCTCAGGAACTCCCCCTTTGGCAGCCCAGACTATCTTGAGACTCACAGGTCATTGGAATCCCTGTTCCAGCCTCCAGACCGACCTTGGCTGGCTGCCTGTCAGATACCATGGTCATCTCATCTCAGGACATCCATAAACCTCATCTGATGTCTACGTGACTTAGAAATGAAAATAAGACCCAAAAGTAACGTGACCTCCCATCGTATACAAGACTAAATATGTAACGCCCCAGGTGACTGACTACCAGTTTCAAAGTCACTTGAGACTTGTGGCAGTGACAGATGTCACTGCAGAAAACACAGCCCCATACCCCTCAGGTTCACAATCAGCTTGTGCAGCAAGTGGTCCCTGCTTGTGGTCCTGGCCACAGAACTGTAAGTGTTGTATCCACTCCAAACTGAAAGCTTCAGGTTTGAAAATGAATTCTCACAAGAACATCAGTGGGAGAAGCTGGCTGGTATGTAACTTTGGGATAAGTCCAGTGGGGTGAAGGCTTGACAAAAGCCTCTGGTATCCCCAAAATGCCCCCAGAGGAGGGAAGCCTACCATGATTCGGGTATCAAGAATGTAGGGAGGATCGCCCCGTGGGTCCTGCAGGGAGCCCTGTGGTACTGGCCACCCCTCCCATGTCACGGCTCTACGGACACATGATTATCAGGGCAGTGAGGTGGCCATAGGCTACAGAGTTTTTAATTGAGATTTCAGGAAATGGACACAAACGAGCAAATAAATACCAAGTCAGCACACGTGGTCCACAGGACTCTTAAGTGGTGACGAAGCCAGCCCTGAGAGCCCCTCGTGGGCATCTCGGACACCAGCTTGGAGTGCTTTCTCCACTCAGGAAACCCATTATGGGTCCCCATAGCCGCCACACTGGAGCATTTGTCCAGTGGCCTGAGGGTGCCATTCACTGGAATGGGCCTGCCCACTGATTGGCTGTTGCAGCCCACCTTTATCATACCAGTTCTGAGGGTGTGTGGGGCTCACACTCCCTGCATGTCTTTCCTGGAGCCTCACCTTGCCCCGGACTCTTGATCCTCAGACGCTGCCAGCTGCCCTGGCACTGTACCCCAGGAAGGCAAAAGCAGCATTTGGGGGAGGCCACAGCCTCAGAGGTCCCACATACCACTTCCACCTGCTCTGTGAATACACACCACTGTTACTTATCCCTGGGCTGGGTACCGACCCCAACCTCAGGTAACTATCCTGACCAGCTCACGATAGTGAGGGAGTGGCTAGGCTGCTCCACCCAAATCCCGGGCACGATGGAGGCGAGGCAGCATCAAGGAAGAAATGCCAGATATGAGCTCAGTGATCATGGCTAATTAAAAAATGGTGATTTCAATGTCTGCTTCCTGACAGTAGGCTTCTTGTTCTGAGTGAAGTTTGTCCATCTTTTCGAAAGCCAGGCGACCTTTCTCACCTGGAATGCAGAGGTGCCTGTCACTGGCTTGCCACCCTCTTGGTGTCTCTAGAGGGGCAAGGCAGTAGTGCTTGGGAGTTCCCTGCCCCCACTGGTAATTAAGCAGTTAACAGCCTCCTATGACGGAGATTTGGGCACTAGCCTGGCTTTGCCCCTGCCCTCCATTTGCCAAGGGCTGTAAAAAGTTACACCCTGGCTCCCAGCCTGCTATGAAGGTAGTCAGCCCTGGCCAGAGGCTACTAAGCATAGCGTGGCCTGTAGCAGGGTCCCCGGCAGCCCGGTACTGACAGCTGAGGTGGTCTCACCCATCTCCACTAGATCCCTGGAACCCCACTGTGCCGCGTAGGCCCTTTGACTGCACTTTACCAAACGACAGTGTTGCTTCTCGAGCTGCAACTCGCACGGCCTCCAGGTCAGACTGACACAGACTGACTATCTGCTCGATGCTTTCAATGCCCTGTAAGGTAGGGAGGGAAGAGCTTCGTGAGCAGCAGGCAGACCTCACTGTCATCCCTGTGGTACCAGACCGAACATGGTTCCTAGGACCTCCTCTGGCCTTGAGAGGCCTCAGGCCTGTCAGCGAGTTTGCAAAACTCTTCCACACCCCAGTGCAGGCCTGCAAGCAAGGCCACCAGCAGTGTGTCTGTGGACACCATCTAACAAATCCAGCTGCCTTCCTTCTGGGACTAACTGGAACTCTCCTCCACCTGGAGAACTGGGACCTGATGGCCACACTCAGAGCTCCCACGAGACCTCCTATTCCTTCACCCAGCACTGGAGCCTCAACAGGTGCCTCTGAGGACCTTTTGGGACAGCCCTGAGCAAGTAAAGTCAGTGGGTGTCCTCTGCACTGAGCCAGTTCCCACGTACAAGTGGGTAACAAGGTTATTCGAGGCAGATTCCCAGCAAGGGAGTGCAGGGGGTGGGAGTGGGGAAGGCGGGGCTCACAGGCCGGGAAGCCCTGTGTCATCCAGTCCAGAAAGATGAGCTGGAACCCAGGACGGCTTCTTAGAAATCTATTCACATAGTGAATTCTCAGAGTGGAACATAGGCTTTTTTTTGAGAGGATCTCACCATTTGGCCAGACTGGGTCTATGGTCACAGGTCTGTGCCACAACACCTGTTTTGTGCTTTTTTGCTGTTGTTGTTGTTGTGTTTTTTGGGTTTTGGGTTTTTTTTTTTTTGGTTTTTCGAGACAGGGTTTCTCTGTGTAGCCCTGGCTGTCCTGGAACTCACTCTGTAGACCAGGCTGGCCTCGAACTCAGAAATCTGGCTGCCTCTGCCTCCGAAGTGTGCCATCACCGCCCGGCTGTTTTTTTTTTTTTTTCAACGTATGAAAACTACATATTTTTGTGTATGTGACTTTGAAGAGGTTACACATGTGCATCTCACACACACCTCCACACACAATGAACAAAACCAGAGTTAGCAGGTGTCATCTGTGCTGTGTTTTGAGACAGGGCCTTTCCTAGACTGGCGCTCACAAATAAGACATGTTAGCTGGCCAGTGAGTCCCAAGGGTCCCCTGCTTCTGCCTCTACTGTGATTACAAGTGTGTGCTTTCACCCTCAGCTTTTTTTTTTTTTTAAATTGAGGTCAGAGGATTCCACACAGTCCCTCGTGCTTGCAGGTATGTAATCCTTGGCTCCCTTTAAAGTCGTGTTTGCCAGTGATACACAGAGAAACCCTGTCTCGAAAAAACCAAAAAATAAAAAAAAATTTAAAAAATAAAAATAAATAAATAAAGTCCTGTTTAATACCAATGTTCAGTAGGCACACGTCCCTGCAAGCAAGAAGAAATTGTGCCAAAAGTGGCCAGTCACTTCTGCCAAAGACCAAGATGACAGGCCGCTTTTACCTTCCCATGATTTTTCTTCTCACGAGAATTTGTCATAGTTCTAACATGTCCAACTGGGCAGGAAGTCCCGTGGTTGTCGGGATGTCTGCTGTTGGAGTCTGAAAGCTGGCTGTTGCTAGTCTTCTTGCTGCTGGTGAACCCCTTTACCGCCCCCACCGTTCTATCCCTGTTTCCAGAGAAAACATTTCAAGCCTTTGCCACCTCCGCTGCTGCTGTTTTGGCCCTCACCACTGGTGGCCTCCTGTCACCCATGAGGACAAAGGACTCACCCCAAGCTGCTGCAGAGCCATGCACGCCGCCTGCTGGAGCTTGGAGTCACTGTCGTTTAAAGCGTTGGTGTAGTACAGCAGAGCCTAGGGAAAGAGACCAGGATTGGACAGAGCTGGCAGGGCAGGAGTAGGTCCCCAGCTGGGTGGAGCACACTGCAAATGCTCCAGTGACCCAGTGATCCAGACCTGTCCATCCGTCTGGCCAGCTGTACTGTCAGGTGGATTACCCCAAGATTGATCACCTTTTCCCGGAAGCGCTTGTTCCTGGCCGCGCTGGCCAAGCTCACTCTGGCAGCCCTGCAGAGCCTCGGGGGGCCGTCCAGCTGCAGCAGTGCCCAGGCTTGCAGTGTCTGGGGCAGTGGCTGCAGCTGGCTTAGACACTTCCCATGCAGCTTCCTCAAGGCCTTGGCTGGGCCTGCACAGCTCAGTTCCTCAATAAGAGTAACTGGAAGACAGGAAGGGACAGGTACCGTCGGAAGAGGCTTAGCCATATTAGTCACAGAGAAAACTCCAAGATGGGGATATCACCACATCCCGGCAAACATTTCCTTCAGGTGGATCAGACACACCCTAAAAATGGGCAGAACCACAGGCCAGCCTTGGCACGGTGGTACACACCTGTAACCCCAGCACTTGGGAGGCTGTGGCTTGAGGATGGTGTGTTTGAAGTTAGTCTAGGCTACACAGTGAGACCCAAACTTCTAGGCTTGTCTACTCCCTGGAGCAGTCCTGGACCGCTCACCTCCCTCTCTGGACTTCCACCACAGCTGGTCGTGGTCTCACTCAATCTCAGTTTTGACAGCTAGAGGGAGAGTTACAGGGGCTCTGAATGGTGGCCCCAGCCAGAAGGCACAGGGTGTGCTGTCACTCCCTTCCAGGCTGTGGTCACCACTCAGCCCTACCTTCCTTGGTGAGCTGGGCGAGGTGTTTCTCCAGGTCAGAGATGCTCTGCCGCTGCAGGTAGCTGTGGAACTGGAACCAGGTGACCACCTGCTCTTCCTGAAGCCCTGCTGTGACCAGTAGCCCACCACAGCCCACCACTTGCTCCAGGAGCCTGCGACACACTGGCAGAAGGAAGGGCCATGAGCGGGACCTCAGCTGATCTCTCAGTAAACAGGTCTGTATCAGCTGAAAGGGACTCTGGGAGAGGAGAGCCCAAGGGGCCCCCCCTTAGAGTCAACAGACTCCTGGCTCTAGAACCTTCCCTACCCCAGAAGTTGGTAGCACCTGCCAGTAAGGTTCAGTTTGACTCAGTTCTAGCCCCTTTCCTGTCTTTTAGTTCTTTATTTGACAGAGAAAAAGAGCACACCAGCTAGCTAGTAACCACCACAGAGGACTGAATCCCAGAGGCAGAGGTCTGGAAATACAGATGGCAACAAGCTGCCCAGAGAGTGGAAGGAACTTCCAGACTTCAGATGCCACCCCCACCCCCGGGATCAACCTTCACTTGCCCCACAGGAAATGCTACAGCTGCCCTCAGGAAATGTCCAGCCTGAGGTCAGGACACCTGGATGGCACATGCCTGGACACCTCCCGCTAAGAACCCTTGAAGGCTTGGTGGCAGGCACAGGAATTCACAGCCGGCTTTCCTAAGAGCAGGGCAGCAAAGACATGCACAGCAGTAGGACTGCAGCTGCAGCACTGCCATTCCCCCTGGGACAGGCCAAGCAAGGAGGACACTACCTATTTCCAGCTGGCCGGGGTACTTCCCTCGGACTCGATGCAGGAATGTCTTCTTGAGCTGGCTCAGGAGTGTGGAGGCAGGGCAGGCCAGGACTCCCCCAGGCTGTGTGCACCCCTGCCACAGTGCCAGGCCACCCTTCCTCTGAGACGCCTGTGGGATGACTGAGAACCAGCAGCTGCTCAGCAGCCTAGGCAGGAGCAACTAGGAGCCCCAGAAACCCCTCCACAAGGACCCAAGGTTGGAAGTGAGGGCAGGAGGATCTTATCTCAGGCCCCTGTCACCCCAAAGGAACAGTCTTGGCTCCAAGTACCTTCCTAGTCCCTACCCACAAGATCAGTCACTCACTGCCATCCTGACTAGGAAACTGGACTCCCCAGACAGGTCCACAAGGGGAGACAAAGAACGGAGGTGACAGCCATTCCTTGGAGGGGACACCAGCACATGAGTGGAACTGGCTTCAGTGAACCAGCATTGACCTTGCCAGTATACAGAGACTGGCAAATGTGCTAGCTGTGTAATCCACCCATCAGTGGGAGAGGGAGGAAGGGAGGGAGGGAGGGA